CTGAAGCCAAGAAAACACGAGGTAGTTTTCAAAGTAAGCTACTCACTGAGGAGATGAAGGATGCGGCGAAGCAACTTAGGGAGAATAAAGATATCGTAATAAGACGCGCAGATAAATCTGCACAATATGTCATTATCGACTGAGCCGATTACCATGAAAAACTCAATGATGTTCTCAATGATACAAAAAAGTTCCAAGTAATCAAAAAAGATCCCACTCCTCAACTAAAATTTCTTCAACATAATTCTGTGGTCTTTTCTGCAACATTTTATTGTAGACCTTGCCAGGTGTTTTTAACAATGTTATCCTTTTGTAGTTTTTACAAATCTGTCTAGTCTCCTTTCTGTTTATATATAGAAATAATTTTTCCTTTTCCCCAGTCCGCAGGTATCATTTCTTGATAAAATATTTTTTGTATTAGTTCATGAAGGGCTTTAATTATTGTTTTCTCTTCCTCTTTAAGCATTTCTGCGCTTATTTCATCTTATTTTTTAGGCCTTTAATTTTCTGTTGCTTTGTTTTCAACATTTGGAATTTTTTTCCAGACTTTTGGTTTTTACTTCCAGTTTGCATTTGTAAAAGTTTTCAAAATGTTCTTTCCATCATTCCTGAATTTCTTTACAGTCTGTTAATATTTTTCCATCTTTATCTTTTATTGTGGGTAGTTTCAGTGTATAAGTACCGGTAAGGTCCTTTATTCTATTCCGACTATAACTCCTTGCTACCTGTATCTCAATCTGGTTTCATACCTGCTCACAGTACTGAAACTTCTTTACTCAAAATACACAATGATATCCTTCTCTCTAGTGACAATAGTAATCTTACTCTTCTTCTTGCTCTTGACTTTTCCTCGGCTTTTGATACGGTTGACCATACTATTCTCTTGAGACTGCTGCATCTTTCTTTTAATATCACTGATTCTTGTCTATCTTGGTTTTCTTCTTATTTCTGTAATTGTTTTTCTTCTGTTCTTCTCAATAATTCTACTTCTAACTCCTCTACTCTTATTTTTGGGATACCTCAGGGTTCTATCCTTAGCCCTTTTCTATTTATACTCTATACTTCTGAACTACCTCGTATTATTAATAACTTTTCTTTCTCTAGTCAACTATATGCTGATGATTCTTACATTTATACTTCTTTTCATCAATCTAATCTCAATAGTGTTTTTCATAATTTATCTCTGTCTTTCTTCAATTATCGCTTGGTTTGACTCTATGTGTCTTAAACTTAATCCTTCTAAGTTTGAATTAATTTGTTTTAATAAATCGAAACACTCTATTACTATTCCTCCTATTATATTACCTGATTATAAAACTCTTGATGTCTCTCATAAGTTTCGTATTCTAGGTTTTATCTTTGATTCTACTATGTCTCTCTCTTCTCAGATTAATAGTGTTGCTAGAAGTTCTTACTTTCATCTACGTAGAATAAAAAAACTTTTACCTTTTCTTGATGATCCTACTCTTCTTCTTCTTGTTACTTCGTTATTCTTATCTAGGATTGATTATTGTAACTCGCTCTACTATGGTCTTCCTGACTCTATACTCTATCCTTTAAGTAAAGCTTTTAACTCTGCTGCTCGTCTAGTTGCTCGTGCCCCTTTCTTTTCTCATATATCTCCATATCTTGTTCTCTTGCACTGGCTACCTATAAAATATAGAATAATTTTTAAAATTTGCACGTTCATGTATAAGTCTCAATCTAAATTATTTCCTAAGTATTTATCAGATATATTAATTGAACCTAAACGCCCCGGTTTACGATCGTCTTCTTCTTCTCGCTTTTTCTTAACTCCTGTTAAACACTCTTTTGCCAAATCTGCGTTTGCTTTTTCTAGTCCTTTTCTCTGGAACTCTCTACCTACTTCTCTGACTACTTCTCCATCACTTGCGAAGTTCAGAGCGGATCTCAAGACCCATCTGTTTTCAAAATTCATTGAAAATCGTTGAACATTGTTGAACCTGTTGAACATCGCGGAAATAGCGCTTTATAAGCCAATTGATTGACTGACTGACTGACTAACTGACTGATTGATTGATTGATTCTCCTGTATGCTACTTTTGTTCTGTTATATTTAAAATTTTGTTGTATCTTTACGCATTTTTGTTCTATCCAGTAGTCCTTATCTGTTTTTAATTTCTTTTTTATTATCTTGTGATCCAGTTTATTTGTTTGCCATCAGCCATTATTAATCTCAACCGTAAAGCATAGCTGCTTTAGACCATCGCTTACTCATTGTTTAAAGCATAGCTGCATCGCTTACTCATTGTTTTTCCTGTCTGTTATATTTAATTCCAAGTACTATTTTAACATTTTCAATTACAAAGTGTTTTAATATAAACCAATGTTCTTCTATTGCAGAGTCTGTAGTTATTTCCTTCAATTTTTTATAGATCAATTTTTCATATCTGTTTTTTTTATCATGGGATTCTCTAATTTTTCTGTGTTTAGATAAAGTTTACCGGAGGCTTTATCTCCTTTTTTTAGTCTTAATTTTAGTTTTGCCATGATTAGTTTATGATCAAATCCAATTTGTGCTGAGCATGTTCGTATATTTTGCTCATTATCATGTAATCTATCAAGTTTTTAGTTTTTCCACTAGATGATCTCCTAATCCATTTCCTTACCTCTTTCTTTTCAAAAAAGGTATTCATTATTGCTAGTCGGTGTGAAGTGCAAAACGAAAGCAATCTTTTGTCTCTTTCATATTTTCCTGTTTCATGCTTTCCAATTGTTCCTTTTCATGTGCTGAAATTTTTTCCCACTTTTGCATTCTAGTTTTCAATTATTATTAATATATCATGTTTTGGTAACTCAATTTACCGATTATAGTACTTTGCTGTGGAATGAGTCCATCTGATTTGTCAATTGGTGGGGCATATATCTGGATTACACTCATTTTACCAAATGTTATTTATAATCTTGCTTTCAAAAGTCTTGATGATATGGCTTGATATGGCTTGATATCCAATTAAAGCTTTTGTTGCCTTTTCCGTTAATATAAGTGCAACTCCCTCTGGTGACTTTTTATCTTCTCTTCCTAAGTTTAGTATTTTATATCTCAAAGTGTCATAAATTCGTCTTTTTCTTTCTTCCTAATTTCACAAAGCTCTACTATGTCCCATGTTTATCTTTCTAATTCATGTATTACAAGATGCACCTCCCGTATAATTTAAAGTTCTTACATTCCAGTTTCAGCATATTCAATATTTCTTTACACTCTATGGTTTACAATCAAAAAATTACAAATATAGCAAAAATAACAATAATTAGGATAACAAATAATATAGCGCAAATCAATCATTCCTGCGGTTATAACATTACCACCACCTTAGCCTGTAAGTCCCTACCATAAGCGTTAAATTTTCTTCTATCTGGTGATTTGGGTCTAACCTATCCAAATTGTCGACCTTAATTTTTGCCCGTTGTTTTGGTCCTGTAGATCATGACCTTGTTCTAATATTTCCAATTACGTGGACGTTTTGCCGAGTATCTTTTGTACCGATTTTTCCAATTCCTTGGGAGTTTCATCTGGCATGTCTTTTTTCTGCGCCGTAGGTTGTACAACAAGGTTTTTGCTCTTAAACCCTGCGTTATTTCTTTTCGGGTCACGCCACATTTTCGTTTTTTTGTCCCTCTAGCCATAGGCAGACGTCGTGGTTTTTTCTTGATTTTGTTGGCACGTAAAGCAAGTGATATCTTTCTATTGAGTTTAAAAGGTGTAGAATGACCAGACGGGTTGCTTAGGTGCATGTTGCAATAATTGTTGTTGACATCTTTTCTGTCTATCAGTGATGCAGTGATGCACATCTTATTCCGATCAGCAATGAAGCCGCCATTGATGTCATTATCCAGGTAGACGAGATACATGTTTTCATTCCACGTGCGTGCTGAAAGGGTTATCTCAAAACGAATCATCGTCTATCCTCAATTCGTGTTTGGTATGAATATTCGCATCAGCATTAGAATCATTGTTAATCTCTAGATTAATGCTCCCCCATGATTAATGTCTTATCCAAATTATCATCAAAGGTTGACTCGTTGGTGAGTTGCATTGAAATCGTTGTTTCTCTTAATTTTAATGCTGTCGTTGTTGCCGATAAAAACAAGCAAATTGTTAGCAGAAAGATTTGACTATTAGTCCCACTGCATATCAAAAGTTTCTTTGTCGTAGCAAACTTTTCCAATATTTTCAAAACCTTAATTTTCGTCTTTGTCACCATCTTCATCATTACGATAACTGCTTTGCTTTCTCTGCTGGAAACATGACTGCAAACCCGACTTGTAAACCATATTTTTAGTCTAGATTTTTAGCATAGATTCAATATTTATTCACATTCTATGGTTTACAATCCAAAGACTACAAATATAGCAAATATAACAGTAATAATAATAATAATATAGAGCAATTCAATCATTCCCGCGGTTATAATAAAATGGAATAATATAAATGGAAACAATTTACACAAATACAAACTAATGAAAAAAACATAGTGAAAAATGGCAAAATGTGAAATATATATAATACTTTCTTAATAAAATATCATATATACTACCTACTATATAACAAATGAATGATTTGTTGTCATAATCCAGAAAATAATATTAAATTGCCATCGTAATGAAGGATAAAAAAGTTAATGAGAAAATAAAATTAATTTATGCAATGTTATAATCCAGAAAACTTTATTAATATTTGTCTTTCTTCTCCCCAAATTCTGCAACTTAATGTTCATTGTGCTTATGTAATGGTTAGGGCTTAAGCTATAATATTGCTTTACAATTAAAACAATTGCATAATTCAAATTACAATATATTCCACCCATCGTTTCCATTATATAAGGACCATAATTCTAAATATTCGTGAACATTTCTATTTTAGCCTTATAGATGAATTCTTCAAACTTCAACGGAATGGCATTGCTTAATTATATTAAATATCATTGTTTTTATATAGATAATTTATCATTGCATTCACAGTTTGATAAAAATAATAATAAGGTCATTTGCTAACCCTAATAACACCAAAAGATGAGTAACAATAAACACCCATATCTTTTGGTGATAGCAGATGACAACTGCGATTTTTATTTATAGTTAGAGTGATGAGGCTATTGTTGCATACCTCACAGTCAATGTTGAAGTACACTTATGACGCCACCCAACCGGTTATATATGCAAAAGAATTTTCTGTCAATGGCTTAACCGATTTTGTCAAGAAATTGTACCTTAAAAATGTAAACACATTTCATACAAATTTTTTTTTTTATACAAACTGAAATAAGTTGCAATAAAAAACTTACTTTTCAATTTTATCAAAAGCCTCACTAGATATATTTCTCTTCACATCAAATTTTTTGAAAATAAATCTGGTAACACAAAATTGTTGATGACATTACCTGAATTATCTGGCAAAAAACCCCATCTTGCCAAATATCCCTTCATTATATATTTGATTGATATGCTGTCGGATTGTTATTCCAGCCATCTGAAATTATCATCATAAAACAAATGCATTCAGCAAGACACAAAAAATAAATTAGATTCAATGCATACCACTTTTGCGGACAACATTAAAAAATAATTCAAAGTGATCCTTAGACAACTTGTACATTAATAAATGTTTTTAATCCTCCAAGCCATTTTCAGCAATTTTTATAATTGAGATAATATTGGTCACAAAACCTGCGAAACATGTTTGTCTTCAAAAGAAGAAGATATCGAAAATATCAAAGATCATAAAATTATTATTGCCTCCTTTCACATGGTATATGTAACGATAATAAGAAATTTTATTTGATAGTAAATTGATATTTACATCTCAAATATATAAATCAATTAACAAAGCAATTTCGATTCTAGGCATAATATACAGAAATTTTCGTAATTTAAACAAATTTTCCTTCTTACAGTTGTACAAGGGTATAATCAGACCAAACTTGGAATATGCAGTGAGTGTTAATCAATCAATCAATCAATCAATCAATCAATCAATCAATCAATCAATCAATCAATCAATCAATCAATCAATCAATCAATCAATCAATCAATCAATCAATCAATCAATCAATCAATCAATCAATCAATCAATCAATCAATCAATCAATCAATCAATCAATCAATCAATCAATCAATCAATCAATCAATCAATCAACCAATCAACCAACCAACCAACCAACCAACCAACCAACCAACCAACCAACCAACCAACCAACCAATCAATCAATCAATCAATCAGCTTATAAAGCGCTATTTTCGTGATGTTCAACAGCGCTCCTCAATGAATTTTGAAAACAGATGGGTCTTGAGATCCGCTCTGAACTTCGCAAGTGATGGAGAAGTAGTCAGAGAAGTAGGTAGAGAGTTCCAGAGAAAAGGACTAGAAAAAGCAAACGCAGATTTGGCAAAAGAGTGTTTAACAGGAGTTAAGAAAAAGCGAGAAGAAGAAGACGATCGTAAACCGGGGCGTTTAGGTTCAATTAATATATCTGATAAATACTTAGGAAATAATTTAGATTGAGACTTATACATGAACGTGCAAATTTAAAAATTATTCTATATTTTATAGGTAGCCAGTGCAGAGAACAAGATATGGAGATATATGAGAAAAGAAAGGGGCACGAGCAACTAGACGAGCAGCAGAGTTAAAAGCTTTACTTAAAGGATAGAGTATAGAGTCAGGAAGACCATAGTAGAGCAAGTTACAATAATCAATCCTAGATAAGAATAACGAAGTAACAAGAAGAAGAAGAAAAGTAGGATCATCAAGAAAAGGTAAAAGTTTTTTTATTCTACGTAGATGAAAGTAAGAGCTTCTAGCAACACTATTAATCTGAGAAGAGAGAGACATAGTAGAATCAAAGATAAAACCTAGACTACGAAACTTATGAGAGACATCAAGAGTTTTAGAATCAGGTAAGATAATAGGAGGAATAGTAATAGAGTGTTTAGATTTATTAAAACAAATTAATTCAAACTTAGAAGGATTAAGTTTAAGACACATAGAGTCAGACCAAGCAATAATTGAAGAAAGACATAGAGATAAATTATGAAGAACACTATTGAGATTAGATGGAGGAAAAGAAGTATAAATGTAAGAATCATCAGCATATAGTTGACTAGAGAAAGAAAAGTTATTAATAATACGAGGTAGTTCAGAAGTATAGAGTATAAATAAAAGAGGGCCAAGGATAGAACCGTGAGGTACCCCGAATAGAGGAGTTAGAAGTAGAATTATTGAAAACAACAGATGAAAAACGATTACAGAAATAAGAAGAAAACCAAGATAGACAAGAATCAGTAATATTAAAAGAATGATGCAGCAGTCTCAAGAGAATAGTATGGTCAACAGTATCAAAAGCCGAGGAAAAGTCAAGAGCAAGAAGAAGAGTAAGATTACTATTGTCACTAGAGAGAAGGATATCATTGTGTATTTTGAGTAAAGAAGTTTCAGTACTGTGAGCAGGTCTGAAACCAGATTGAGATACAAGTAGCAAGGAGTTAAAGTCTAAATAGGATGACAGTTCATTAAAAACTACTTTTTCTATTATTTTAGAGATGAAAGTTAAATTAGTTACAGGTCTATAATTAGATAAAGAGGTGGGATCTAAGGATGAGTTTTTAAGAATAGGAATAACAATAGAATTCTTATAAGAAGTAGAAAATTTAGAGGTGGAAAGAGATAAATTAACTAGTTTGAGAATGATTGGATAAAATATTGAAGAAAATTCTTTAAGTAAATTAGAAGGAAGTAGAACTAGAGAACAGGTTGTAGACGACATAGAATTAATAATTTTAGTTAGTTCTAAAAGATTTATTGGAGTAAATACAGAAAAAGATTCAGTAGTAAGTAGTAAGTTTAGTAAAGTTATGAGAAGAAAAATTAGAATTAGATGTTCTTAAAGAAGTAATTTTATTTACAAAAAAGTCATGAAACTGTTGAGCGGAAAAAGATGAGAGAGAGGATTTTTTATGTAGAAGTTTAAATCTCGCATCAAGTTACAATTTGTCCCCAGTCATCACAATTCCAACAAGAACCAGCATCAACAAGCAATCAGTAATAGATAACATTTTTGTGAGTCGCCTAAAACCATTAAAACTAAGTGGCGTAATATTGTGCGACCATTTTCCGATCTTCGCATTATTCGAAGAGGCGGATAAAAGCAATAGTGTAAATAGTTCAACAAAAATGCACAAATTTAATGAGTGCTTGCAATCTTCAGACTGGTGTCAAGTATTTGAATGTTTTGATGCAGATATGGGCTTCGAGCTATTCATCAACAAATTTCGAACATGTTTTTATAATATCTGCTTTATAAATTCACAAAATAAGAAAAAGAAACTGGCGAAAACAAAACCATGGTTCACTGGAGAAATTAAAAAATTACTAAAGAAAAAAAAATTGCTATTCAAAACTTATTTGAAAAATCTATCTCCAGAAAAATTATTCAAGTATAAAACGTCAAGTCAGTTTTGTACAAAATTAAAAAGCAAATTGAAGCGCAAATATTACATGGATCAAATCGAGCAAAATAATAATAATAGTAAAAAAACGTTGTCAATAATAAAGGAAATTTCAAAAATATCTACCAATCATAAAACTAAATCTCAGTTAACTTCAAACGAACAGATTATTGAAAACCCTGCAAATTTTTTGAATGAATATTTTGTCAACATAGTTCCAAATTTGCTCAATTCATTTCAAACAGACAAACAATGGAAAACTTTTCTCCGCACGAAACATCAAATTCATTTTTTTTGTCTCCATGCATCTGCAGGTGAGATAATTTCCACAACCAAATTGCTGATACCAAAGTCGTCTAGCGGTTGGGATGATGTTCCAACAAAAATTTTAACATCAACAATTCACTCCACCGCCCAGGTCCTTGAACACATCATCAACCTTTCCTTCACAACCGGTGTTTTTCCAAAGTGCCTCAAAATATCCAAAATCATACCAATACAGAAAGTTACTGGTAATAATGACGTTTCTAACTTCCGACCAAATTCACTTGTACCGGCATTCTCAAAAGTAGTTGAAAAAATTATGCACAGGAGAATAATTTCGTTTTTACAAAAAAATAACATCATTTCAAATTACCAGCTTGGGTTTCGAGAGAAACATTCAGCAGAACTGGCCATCATCGAACTGATAAGAAAAAGTGGTACTCTAGCGGAGAAAAAACATTTCATTGTAGGAACATTTAAGTTTAAGACACATAGAGTCAGACCAAGCAATAATTGAAGAAAGACATAGAGATAAATTATGAAGAACACTATTGAGATTAGATGGAGGAAAAGAAGTATAAATGTAAGAATCATCAGCATATAGTTGACTAGAGAAAGAAAAGTTATTAATAATACGAGGTGGTTCAGTAGTGTAGAGTATAAATTATAAATAGAAGAGGGCCAAGGATAGAACCATGAGGTACCATGAGGTAGCAAGGAGTTAAAGTTTAAATAGGATGACAGTTCATTAAAAACTACTTTTTCTATTATTTTAGAGATTTTAGAGATGAGAGTAATATTAGTTAGCCTTACAGTGTCAAAAGCTTTAGAAATATCAATAAAGACACCTATACTCAACAATTTAGTGTCAATATTTTCCAAAACATTTTGACACCGATCCAAGATGGCAAGCTTTTTAGAGCTATTTTTTCGAAAACCATTTTAACTGCAATTAATAGTGCAGTTTTTATCAAATAAATTAAGAAAATTAGTCGAGCGATGGAGAACTAATTTTTTTAATTATTTTTGAGTATGTAGAAACTATAGAGGTAGGACGATAATTGAAAAAATCATCACGTGGGCCACTTTTAAAGAAAGAAAAAACCTTAGACGTCTTTAAGCAGTTAGGAAAAACACCTTGTTGAAAGGACAAGTTTATACAATATGTTAGAAGTTTAATTATATTTAGAATAATCTGCTTTACAATTGCAATAAATGAATAGTCATCTGTCAGAGATGAAGAATTATTTAAAGTTTTTACCAGTTTATAAATTTGTATTATTTTGTTCTTTTAAATCTAAATGCTCTATTACTATTCCTTCTATTATCTTACCTGATTATATGACCCTTAATGTTTCTCACAAGTTTTGTAGTGTAGGCTTTATCTTTGATTCTAGCATGTCTTTTTTTAGAGTAATAGTTTTGGCAAAAGTTCTTACATTCATCTACGTTGAATAAAACAACTTTTGTCTTTTCTTGACAATCCTACTCTTCTCCTTCTTGTTACTTCTTTAGTTTTATCTAAGATTGATTATTGTAACTCGCTCTACTATAGTCTTCCTGATTCTACACTCTATCCTTTAAGTAAAGTTATTAACTCCGCTGCTTTCTAGTTGCTCGTGTCTCTTTTTTTTCTCTCGAATATTTCCATATCTTGTTCTCTTGCACTGGTTACCTATAAAATATAAAATAATTTTTCAAATTTGCACATTAATTTATAAGTCTCAATCTAATTTATTTCCTAAGTATTAATATTTATCAGATATATTAATTAAACCTAAACGCCATCGTCTTCTTGTTCTCACTTTTTCTTAATTCGTGTTAAACACTTTCGCTAAATCTGCATTTGCTTTTTCTGACCCTTTTCTCTGGAACCGTCTACCTTCTTCTCTGACTACTTCTCCATCACTTACGAAGTTCAGAGCGGATCTCAAGATCCATCTGTTTGCAAAATTCGTTGAGAAGCGTTGTTGAACATTGCTGAAAGAGCGCATTATAAACTAAGTGATTGATTGGTTGGTTAAGTGATTGATTGATTGGTTGGTTGATTGATTGCCATATTGCCATCAAGTGCCTCAATGACGGAAAACATAGGATTTACCATTTGATTGGAATATACGTTCAAGGATGATACCACCTTCGAAGACTTCTAGCCAGACTGAAATTTTGCTATTTTTATTATATCTTAAAATAAATTTAAAAATAAATTAATTTTAGTCTGAAATTAATTAATTATAATCTAAATTAAAGTAAATAATTTAAATTTTTATGATTTTATTTAAATTTATCCGTATTCCGAAAACAAACGTTGTGTCCTATTCTTATGAACTTACATAAATTTATATGAATCGTATTATCTAGGCATTGCCTAAAAAATTCTTTGGTCTCCGAGCGTGTTTCTTTTATTTCTGTGAATTGGCGTTTTGTGCCCTTGTTACGAAGCGGCTCTATTTTTTCTGAACAATCGTAATGGCGGAGTATGATCTTACGAACCATATGGCTCCATATTTGGATCGTCACATGGTTTTACCTTTAATGGAGTTTTTGTCTGGAAAAGAAGTTAGTATATTTTGTTTATAGGCGTTAACAAACAAGATAAAAGCTAACCCTGATGATCCTTGTCTTAGTCACTAATTTAAAATCACTGCTGGTTCCAGTATGCTGTCCACTGAGAACGTTATTTGCGTATCCTGATAATTGTAATATATATTTTAGAAATAGATTTAGTTCTGCGCATTGTGGCAAAATCAAGTGTTTTTCCATGTATTTATAATTTTTATTAATTATCCTTAGTTGCTTGTTTAATATTAATTTAATTAAAATTAAATTAAAGAGACAACAAGAGATATATAATTTAATTTTGTTTACATTTTCAAAGATTAAAAATATAATTGAAACATCATGATTATAATAAATAAATATTAAATTTAAAACAGTAACAATTGTAATAATAAGCAATTGATAAAAATTAAAAAAGTCCAAAAATTGGAAAAAACGCTTAATTGTTTGAAAAATACTGAAAAGTGGATGAAAAGTTTAGATATAAAATTAATTACACAGTTTGGTCATTTTATCAAATAATATTGACGGGAGATGGTATTTCATATGGCCTGTGCTATGAGGCATGCGGATTCGCACAGCGAACACGCTGCTGAGATGCTATAAGGTGTGCGAATTCGAGGTAAACTCGGAGTGAACAAACAAACATAATGTATGTTAAAATAAAATGACTCTGCAGATTTAAAATTAACTAGCGCTTATTTATTTATTTGATTTAAAATTTTTCTGTAATAAAAAAATCCTTATGAGTTGTATTATTCAATTATAATTATTTAATTTATGATTTATATTTATTATTACAATTTAAAAATTGTTTCTTTAAAAATAAACAAAACCTCACGAATATTCTACTTATTAATTAATAGTTATAAAACTATAAAACGTAAATATAAATTTTATTTTTAATGATTTATATTTATATTTATTAATATGATTTAAAAATTGTTTCTATAATAAAAAAAAAACAGTCTTAGTTTTTTTGTTTTTTTTTTTTGGTGTGCGCCACGGTTCAAACGAGCCTCTGTATTTTTAAAATGGTTTTTCCGTCTGTTGCTGGCGCACCATTGTGTAAAATGATTGAAAATTTTGTTAAAAAAGAGGAGGCCGTAACATGGGCTATGCGACATGGCCTTCTAACAAGCCAAATAACGTGTCAATGTGGATCGCCTATGGTATTATGAAATTGTCACGTTTCTTAGGATGGCTTTTTGTGGCGGTGTTCGAACTGGAGATGTTAAAATACAAAGAGTATTCGCCATGGAAGCTTTTGTAACAAAAGCAGAATCCCTCTGATGAAATGTTTATTAGTTAGTAGGAAATATTTTTTTTTTCATTTTTTATAATTGAATATACATATGAATAAATAAATCGGCATAACTTACCGATACATTAATAAATGATTAATAATTAAATTAAAAATGTAATGGACATAAAAAATTTTAAAGGGCATGAATTTTATTTTACAGTTTTGTACTACTGCGGCTGCCCAAATGACAGGGTTAGACAAAACCAAAACAATACCAGACTTGTTCAATTTGCACCGGGATCTCTGCACTAATTGGGTTAGAGATAATCCAATCAAAATTGGTGGTCTTGGTCATATTGTCCTGATTGACGAAACTTGCATCACAAGGGCCTAAAGGAGTAGAAATGGGTTTTTGGTGGAATTGATTCTGTAACCAAAGAGGCTTTTTTAGTGGAAGTTAATAAAAGGGATGCAACCACGTTGTTACCTATTTTTAGAGACCATGTACTACCTGCTATAGTTTATTTCAAGTATTTAAGTAATTTCACTTATAAATAGAAATTCAGGTTAACTATTATTTTTTATTCATAATAGTTAACATTAATATTTACTTTATTCACAGGTACAACCATTTGGTCTGATCAGTGGGCAGCGTATAACAACATCACGGCAGCTACTGGTCTGGCACACCAAACTGTTAACCACTACATAAGCTTTGTGGCCCCTAATGGGGTCCTCACTAACGGAGTTGAAAACCTTTGGCGGTGTGCCAAACATGTAATGACCACATGTCATCATATCTTGATGAATTTTTGTGGCAACACAGTGTCAGGAATTGTGACGATCGGTTCCAGAAAGCTTTAGAGCTTATCCATACATACTATCCTATGTAAATACTGTTTAAGTTTAACAATATTTTTTTTTACATCATTTAAATACTTTAATTTTTTTTTCAAGAATACTTTAGTTTTGTACATCATGTTAATACTTTAATTTTAATAATCAATCAATCTTCGTTTTGCGTCCAGAGACCCAGTTCCCGAGGTAGGACGTTGTTTTCTTTGACATCAACTTTTTGTGCCAAATTAGACGATCAGTTGTATCCATTTCACTTAAATTTGGGGCTTTTATGTCTTGCTCGATTGTTTGCGACCAGGACTTTTTTGGACGGCCTTTGGGACGTGTGCCAGGTACTTCAACATCTGCAAGAGAAGTTATTGCAATGTTTCCACTTCGTTTGACATGACCAAACCACCACCGCAGACGGTGTTGCCGGCATTCGTCCTTTATATCATCTAAACCAGCACGACGCAGGATTTTGGTAGATTTGATGTGGTCTTTCAGACTAATTCGATGCATCTATTGGAACATTTTCATATCGGTTAGTTGAAGTTGTTGTTCCAGTTTGGTTGTCATTGGCCATGTTTCTGCACCATATAACAACACCGGACGTATCACAGATTTATAAAGTCTTGATAGTAGTGGCTGTGGAATGTCACGCCGCATCAATATAGAAGCAAGAAGATGCCATTTATTCCAGGCTGCTTCGAACGGCAGCTTCAGCTGTTCCAATCTAATTCAGAACATCTCCTAGATATTGAAACGATGCGACTTTCCCTACCTTAATGGCTTCAAAAACAGTGCAATTTGTTTAATTTTAATAAAATCAAATAAATTCATATAAAATCAAAAACATTAGCATCTTGTTTTTGTGTGAATTTTAATTATTTGTCGAAATCGTGAGTATTTAATGTTCATGAGTCAACTGTTTTAATTTAAATTAAAAGCATTTATTATTATCAAAACAGAAATTTACTCATATTTTAACATTTTTTTTATTTAATGTTCAACATGAAACTATTTGACAAGTAATGATCTAAAAAACTTACCTAAGAATTAACTTGTATTAAATTATTTCCAATTTGATATAAATAAATAAGCGCTAGATAAATAAAAAAAAATCAAAAAAATTAATTAAAAGTACATTATGTTTGTAAACTAGGGCGATACCATTTAGGAGTGCGGATCTCCGATTTTACCCGAATTCGCACGGTGAACACGGGCTGGTTAATACGACGTATGAAATTATTAATCGTGAGAAACCCGCATGTCAAATTTGACGTTGACATGCTATAAGGCGAATACGACGCTTAGACGGTGTAAAGCGTGAGAATCACACGACAAATCTTATGTTGAGATGAAAATAGAAATTAACCCGCACGCCGAATTTGACGTTGAGATGCTATAAGGCATGCGAAATACGAGCGGGCAAATACGACGTTTACAGTGAAAATCGTGAGAATCGCACAACTTCAACGTTGAGATGGCCGAAGTCTGTACAACAAAGTTGGGATATTTTGACGATACAGGACGCAGTCAAAGTGCGAAATTTGACGTTTATTAAGACAATATAAAGCATTTTTGTTATAGAATGACTATTTTAAAATGTATTACATCAAGTGTCATATAGTACCACACACAGACAAACGCACTTAATTACACAGTAATGCAATATGTACATTGTTTATGTGTTAAGACGAAACAATTACGTTAAGACCCATGTTATTGTTATATCAACACTGTTGACAAAACCATGGCCCATTCTCGTCAACTAAGATTTCATTTGTAACACCAGGCAACCCAAGAGCGGCCATCAGCCCCTCTTCTTGGGTTCCAATGAACCTGGCATTATGAAATATAATCTCAAATGCTTAACACTTTATAAATCTTCAGTCAGGTCAAAAATAGAGTATGCGGCGTTTGTATGATCTTTTTGGTAATTGGAGGTTATGGAAAACATTGAACGTGTTCAGAAGAAGCCTACTAATAATATGGTTAAGGATTGCTGTGGACTGAACTACGAACAGCAATTGAGATTTTTCTCTACCTACACTTAGGTACAGACGTCTCAGGGGTAATCTCATTTTGGTTTATAATAACTAGAAATTTGGATCATTCAGTCCGCTATCCATTACTATAGAGACCTAACAAAGAATGAACAAAATGGCATCCATTTAAGTTGTCTACGAGAATATGTAATATTGTAATAATATAAAAATGGGATAATAATTTCGAATTTATTGGTATGACCACGACTATATGATAGCCATTGAAATGTTTGACTCAGCGCGCATTTGAACCACTGAGCCATCTCGCTGGCCAACATGCGACAACTTACGATTTGATATCTCTACAATCCTCTATGGTTTACAATCCAAAGATTACAAGTATAGCAAAGATAAAAATAATTAGGATAATAATATAGCACAATTTGATCATTCCGGCGATTATAACAATATTTACCCAAAAAATCAATGAAACAAACAGTAAATGTAGATAACAATTTAATGGGAATGTAAATTAGAGAAGGAGTTGTGAAATAAAAAGTCACAAATGCAACAAGATTTGCTTATGCCAGGGGTGAGCAAACTACGGCCCGCCAAGCCATTTTATATGGCCCGCGAACCTAAAAGGTCATCAGCCGCCAATGTTGCTCCCCTGATCAACATTTCAACAATTTAGAAAAATTCAACCCCCACCCGGTCAACGTTCGAAAAATTTTCTATTTGTATATATATGCGGCCCTTCAAAGGTAAAATAGTTTTCAATGTTGCCCTCACAGAAAAAAAATTGTCCACCTTTAGCTTATACAGTTACTTTTCTGTAAGCGTCCATTATAATGGATGCTATTGAAAAATATATTTAAAAGTGAAAAATAATATATTGAATCTTTTAAATTAACTTATTTTTGCTTTAGATATACGACATAAATACATTGCTGAGGGTGAAAATTGATTTATTGGAGTCAACAAAGATGGTTGATTATTCAACTGATGTCTACAAACTGCTTCACCCAAATGCCCAAGAGCCTCCTCAAGGTAATCTAGTTGTTCAAGCATTTTGCTAAATTTGAAAAAAGCTAATAATTTTAAGTAATCAAATTATAAGAAGGTGATAGTTGTAAACGAGTTAGTGCATGCACAATGTTTTGCTTTGTATGCTGGCTTATCTTTATTTTACATTGTTATTTTGAAACACAAATTTGTCTAAAAAGAAATTTAATGATATAAGATAATATCAAAAATGATGATAAAATAACTATATGTTAATAATGTTATTCATTAAATGATGATAAAATAACTATATGTTAATAAGACCTCCGATTGACTGTATGTTAATGAGATTTAAATTTTGCACTAGGTACTCAATGAACTTATTAAAATAAATAGGGACAGCATATAAATAAAGTTAATGTTGTTGATTCTGACCCCACATTAACAATTTGAGTTTTTTTTGGGTAAATAAGAGTGGAATTATTTTAGAGCAGATTTGTTGATATTGTAGGAAACTGAGAGTTGTTCTGAGCAGAGTATTATGATCAACAGTGTCAAATGCTGCGCTAACATCAAGTAGGGCAAGCTGACCTACGTTCCTTTGTCGATAGCCCTACAGATGTCTGAAATTATCTTTAATAATGCAGGGTTTTGTCCTCCTCATGTTGAATGAGGAGGACAAAACCCTGATCAAAGTTACAGAAGAAACGTGTTAGCATTCTATTTCAAACATCTGATAAGCTGACTAGCAACTAGCTGAATGAACATTGTGTGATATCCAATGCTTTTTCAATAAAGGTGATACAACTGCCACCTTTTAAGATTATGGCATGAATGACGATACAATGCATCTGTTGATCATGGCTTGGAGAAGTGGTGGCAGTGTATCCAATAACTTTTAAACGATGAACATTGAAACTGGATCTAAGTTATACGATTGTGCAGGTGATGACTGATTTACGTTTTTTATTTCACCCATTGTGATGGGTTCAAAACAGTCAAGACGATAAATCACCAGCATGTTAAAATCCATGGGCCCATATTGTACAAGCAGTCAAGACACAAGATTTGTTATTTTTTAATAAGTGATGAGACAACACTTCACAGCTTTTTTTAACTTTTTTTTGATTCAGTCAACATTTGTAACTAACTACGTTCTTTTTTCCATAAAAAACATATGTTCATCTTTGTTTGCCAAATCAAATGCTGATAGTTGAGAAAACTTTTATTTTATATAAATGTGCTTATTTTTTGCAACTTTTCTAACTTTTTGAACCATTTTTTTTTCAAATTTTTTAGCTATGGTTGATAAAAGGCAAGATGTACTTTCACAAATGAAGGAATTAGAGGCAGAAACAGAGCCGTTGATAAATATATTGGGCAACGATGAAACGGCTGCGAATATTCAAAATACCAGGTTAATTGATTTTTTTGAAAATAAATCTTTTAGAAATTAATGCAGAATATGCTACATTTTTTGAATATTTGTTTCCAACCTAATTTTTCACACTCGCAAGTCATTACGTCCTTCATTTTCCACCTGCATTGCTTTTACCTATAATAATGTTTTATACTTCACACTTCTATAAACTACGGAAAGGCTTTTTCAGTTTAAATTGAAATTGGTTTTTATTTTATACAATGTTTGAAATGGTGTAGAAAACTACAATTATTATTTTTTTTAATTTAAGAAAAAATTTAAAACACCACATTTAACATAATAAGCTTTCATTATACTCAATTCGTTTGGTATAGCTGCAATATTTATCCAACAACATGCAGTCAAATTCGAAAAATTCCAAATTTGAAATAGCAATGTTTTTGAAGCAATTAAGGTAGAGAAAGCCACATTGTTTCAATATCTAGAGGATGTTCCGGATTGTACTGGAACAGCTGTACGAGCACGCATACGTGCAGCCTGGAATAAATGGCATCTCCTTGCTTCTATATTGATGCGGCGTGACATCTAACTACCACTATGATCAAGACTTTATAAATCTGTGGTTCGTCCGGTGTTGTTGTATGGTGCAGAAACATGGCAAATGACAGTCAAACTGGGACAAAAACTGATATGAAAATTCTCCGATGGATGCAACGAATTAGTCTGAAGGACCACATCAACAACAACACGTTTAGATGACATTTTTCCCGAGATCGGGAGTTGCCGTTTGGCTACCTATGATGAAACCTAAATACCCCTCGACGCCATTCTTATCTGTCACTCGCTTCAGTATCACGCAACCCCGCTTTTACTCTGTCCTTCTCCACCTGCTCTCTCCATCCCAATCGCGGACGACCCCTTCCTATCATTCCTTCAACCTCGAACTCCAACGCTCGCCTAATCCCGACCCTTTCATCCCTTCTCAACACATGTCCATACCACCGCAATCTCCTTATCAATGTCACAATGTCCTGATTCAGTCCCATCATCGACATCAGCTCTGTACTACTCCTCATATCCTTCACTTTAACCCCAGAATTTATCCTCACCATAGCTCTTTCAGCCCTCTGCAGTACATTTTCCTCCTCTCTCCTCAACACCCAAGTTTCACTACCATATACCATCGCTGCTCTCACATATGCTTTATATACCCTCCCTTTCATCTTCACTGACCATTTCTTTCCACACAATACCCCACCAAGTTCCCTAAATTTCATCCATTTCACACGAACTCTAGCCGTAACAGCGCTCAAACATCCTCCATCTGCGTTCAGCTTAACCCCTAAATAAACAAAGCTTTCCACTCTTTCAATACCACCACTCAATCCTGTCCTTGCGTCCGTCCTATTAATCACACCGTGAACACATTTCTTACATTTGAACGTGCCTTCCACCTTTTTCAGTGCCTCCCTCACACCACTACATCTCTTATGCACCCACTTTTGACATCCTATACACAATACCAAGTTAGCCTTCACTCTCCTGTCACATACCCCACAGGGGTCTATTTTACTTATCACTCGCTCCCCACCTTCCCCATTCACCATTACCTTCGTCTTACCAATATTAACTTTTAACCCTTTCTTTTCGATAACACTTTTCCATCTGTCAAATTTTAACTGCAATTCTTCCATGCTATCAGCCATCAAGACTAAATCATCTGCATGCAAAATCTCAAATAATTCTTCCATGCTATCAGCCATCAAGACTAAATCATCTGCATGCAAAATCTCAAATAACAACCCCTCCGTTATGTTTCCACACACAACATCCATCACAATTGCAAACAAAACGGTGATAACACTGATCCTTGATGAACTCCTACCTTAACACTAAGGTAGGAGTGCATCAAGGATCAGTGAAAGACCATACTATACTGAAGGACCACATCAATTCAGTGATGATGACTTTGTTATCATTGACAATAATAATAACGATGGTGATAACGATAAAGCCATACTATTCTGAAGGACCACATCAAATCTACCGAAATCCTACGTCGTGCTGGTTTTGATGATATAAAGGACGAATGCCGGCAACACCGCCTGCGGTGGTTTAGTCTTGTCAAACGAAGTGGAAACAGTGCCATAACTTCTCTTGCTGATGTTGAAGTACCTGGCACACGTCCCAAAGGCCGTCCAAAAAAGTCCTGGTCGCAAACAATCGAGCAAGACATGAAAGCTCTAAATTTAAATGAAATGTTTACAACTGATCGTCTAATTTGGCAAAGAAAACAACGTCCTACCTCGGGGAACTGGGTCTCTGGACGCTAAACGAAGATTGATTTATTGATAGCTTCAATATTTAGTAAAAAAATTGAGTTTAAAAAAAATTACATCTTTCATTATTCATTGGGCTTGTCATGGTCTTATTTGTTTTTTCTCCGACAATAAGAGTGTTATAATGTAGCCAGTAGTATAAAATTTATGAAAAAACTTGGAGTTCAAAAGTTTATTAAGATTGCTAAAACTTGATCACAAATAGGAATCAAATTAAATAGTTGTTGCCAAAGGACATAAAGGCACTGAACCTGAAATCAGAACTGGCCCACAATTGAGATGATCGAAAAACACGGTTAAATGTGGGTGTTCATGCGACAAGACCAACTCAGGGTTTTCCTCAAATATTGCCACTAGATTTAAAAAATTTCAGCTACTCATGCTTCCAAAAAACGTTTGTAAAATCATCATTTATACAACAATCTGAAGTTTATTTAAAAAATGCATTCAGGAAAAAATGTGCAAAAAAGCATTAATAATAATAATTATGGTGCATGATTGATACGTGAAAAGAAGCATTTAAACCTGCCAGGCTATAAAAGCTGACAAGATTTTGATGAAACAGTACGGCATAGTTTTCAACTCTTAACGACGCGTATTTTTTTATATAATTCAGTATTAGTATTAATATTAGTATAATTTTATATTTGTCTCAATTTAATACACATTTTTTTGTTACCACTGAAATTAAACATAAAAATCTGATTCAATATCGTAGCAAGACAAGACAGCTATTATTTCGTGTTTTCAGCCATAAGATGTATATAACAGAGTGTCGAAGTCGGAGATTTTGGTCGGAGTCGAAATTTTTTGAGGGCCCGGAGTTGAATTTTTTGAGGGCCCTGAGTTGGATTTTTTTAGTGGTCGGAGTCAGATTAGGAGTCGGATTTTTTCATCCGACTCCGGAAAATGTTGTTAGTTTAAAAAATTTTTTTGAATTTTTTAAAAAAATGATTATATGTATAGCAATAGGTAAATGTTTAATAATGTCAATAAAATCACGTAATTTTTTACAGTTTTAAAACATAAAAATATATTAATATTACTAAAAAAACAATTACATTGACTGATTGTATGAGTTTTTTTTATGTATTTTCTTTTCAGTAGTAATGAAATAGTGAAAATGTGATCAAAAAGTTGAAAATTTTTTTCAGTACGTTTAAAACAGTAATTTTACTTAGAAAAACAATTACATTGAGTATTTTCCATTTACCAGTGATAATAATTGATGCAAAAGTTAAAAATTTTTCTGGGAGTCGGGAGTCAGAAATTTTTCTGCGGAGTCATAATTTTTTGAGGGGCCGTAGTCGTGAGTCGGATTATTTTTAAGGGCCAGAGCCGGAGTCAGATATTTTTCATCTGACTCCGACACTGTATCCGGATTAATGATTAATCACTATACATGTATTCATAATTATATTAACGTTCTAAATTGTTTCTAAATAATTCGAAATTTTCTTTAGTTATATCGTAAAGTTCATTAATTCATTTTTTTGTTGTGGGAGCTAATTTTACTCGCTTTGCTTATTATTGCTTCTAGTCTTCTATGATTGATATATAAATTAGGTGAATGGATGTTGGTTGATCATTAAATTCCATTCAATTTATTTCAACCAATCCAAAAAAGGAAATGATTCGGAAACCTAGAAAGAAAACCAATTCTTGTCTACTAGGCCACCGTCTGTCATAATTATATAGAATGAGCAGCAAATTAATACATATAGATAACAGAATCAATTAGCAATCACGAATAAATAAAGAACAAAAATCAAGTTATTACAAGGTATTAATTTTTAAAAAGGAAATCATTTACGAAATAAATTAACATACTATACCTTGGTGACTTATGTGTGTTGAATTATTATGAAAAATAACTATAACTGAAATATTGTTAAATTACAAGAAATACAGATGAAACAACTCACCTATTTTTGATGATATCTTTTATTAAACAAATAATTGTTATTTAAGTAAGAAATTTATATTAAAACAAACAATTTACAAAGATAATGTAATGTTCAACGTGGTGTAATGTATATATATATATATATATATATATATATATATATATATATATATATATATATATATATATTTATAATATTATTATTATACGTAGAGTTTATATTGCGCCGATTCAAGTTCTCATGAACTTGAGTTCTCTAATCCCACAAGTGCGCTTTTATTCTCTTTCTAAAGACAGTCTCTTCAATTTCATTGGTCTTCAAATCTGTTGGTAAACTATTCCAAATCTTTGGACCGTACATCGCAAAACTTCTTGAAGCCGTCGATGACTTAGCCTACGGTATCTGAAGATTATTGTTTTTGGAAGACCTTAGGACTCTACCCTCTTCGGTTTCCTGTGTTTTTTGACACAAATCAATCAAGTATTTCGGAGCTGCACCTCTAATACATCGCTTTACCATCACCAAAACTTTGAATACGATTCTGCTTTCAATTGGTAGCCAATGTAACTCACGAAAAATTGGTTACATGATCGTATTTTCTCCCTCGAACAATATGCTTTGCTGCACGGTTTTGTACTGACTTTAGTCCATATATTGTTGACTTTTGCAACAGTTTGCTGAGCAGATGCCAGAAGTCAACAATATATGGACTTCTGGCATCTGCT